GATAACAGGTCAAAAATCTTCTTGTATGAAATTTACTGCTGATCAATAATTGGGAGGGGTCTCTACTTCATTCTCTGAGTCGTTGTGACTATCAAAACTAATTTCTGCTGATTTTGCGGCCAAATAAATCTAGGCTGTGTATTGCACACGTTTTTTATTCTGATAATTGATAATTTCAGCCGATAGCTGGACCACCGCTGGTGTCGTTGTCAATCGCGAAGTTAGGAAAAGTGCTAATGGTAAAGACTACCTTATATGGAAGCTACACGATTTAAAGGTAACTATGAATACTATGACATTCTGATGGGTACCGCACGCTCCATAAATCTTCTGAGAAAACAACAACAATGATGTATTGTTCCTAATTATGTACGTTAAGGATTGCCAGCAGGCACCTGTTGTGGTGCTGCTTTTTGGTGAGGCCTACAAAGAGTACTGGAAATTGCAAGCCGGAATATGTGTTGCGCTAATGACCCCAACGTTCGCTGACAGTGATAGGAATTCGAATCCTAATTTGGATAAATTTAAGCCACAGGGTCAGTTGAAACAATAATCAGTATCTGCGCTACTTGATGGTTCCTCAAATGAAGAAGTTCCAGCAGCACGTGTCACGCTGAAGGTCTTCAAGCCTGCACAAGTTGTTGAGCTGGGTTACTCTAGTGATCTGGGCATGTGTAAGGTCAGTTATTCTTTATGCGAGCATTTTATTACACTCGCTCTAGTACATCCGAACGATTAATTTCAGGGGGTGAAACTGGACGGACAAAAATGTGGTAATTTTGTTAATACTTCATTGTCGGAGTTCTGTGTACATCACGTCATGAAGGAAGCACGAAAACTATCAGCAAATCGAGGTAGACAATTATATTTCTATACTCTTCATGTTTTTGTCCAAAAAACGGGCGCAAAACTGGAATTTTTCCCTCAAAATTGGACGGGGTCAACTCTTCCATTTTGAATTGGTTTTCATCCACAGGAAAAGTAGTTCTGTGGTTGCAATATTTTAGCAGACCAC